CGTGCCCGGGGCCAGGCCAGCACCGAGCACTTGGCGGGCGCACACAAATGGCCCCGCGGGCACCGTGTTGGGGACCACTGGTCTACACTGTGATGCAGTTTGTATTATGGGGCTGCCAATAGCAGTTCACACCAAAGTGTTGTAATGTAATTCTCCCGAACGCTGTAGGCACAAACTAAAAGCTTGCTTGCTACTTACTACACATAAATCCTCTTCAAACTATTTTGAATAAACTTTATTCGAAGATCTGTTAGTTCTCACTTGCAGCATCCACATGAGGGTGTTGCAACGCATCGGTTTGGTGCACACTCCTATTCAGACCTCTGTAATCTAAACCACAGGGCAATGTAAACGTGCCCTTAGTTTCAAGCTTTAAGTTTGGTTGAGGCTGTATTATGTGTTGCTCCAAATCTTACCCTGGATTTTATTTACATAGGATTATTGAATTGATAAACTGCTGGCCTATTCATTTTGCACTACAGATTTAATCGTATTCAAACTCTTTTAAAATAAAGGCAATTAATTTTTAAATTATAGTCTAAAGTAAAATTACAAATGTAACATTCATTTGTGACATTTGTTCCTTAATAAATGTTTGCCCAGATATTTTAAGTAATAATTTACAGTCTTTTCAGATGAATTCTGACTTTGCAGAATTTTAACAGGGAAGTTGAATTAATATTTTTGCTATTTCTGTTGTTCAGATAAGACCATTCCATACTTTATGATTTGGGGCGGACATATGAGGACAGCTGCACTTACCAGTTAGTACCTGGATGTGGAGTTGTATATAATTAATTTTTCTTAGTTAACTATTTCTTTTTTTCTGGAATATTTCTGTTAATTGGAATGTGGCAGCTGCTATGGAAAAGAAATACGTTTTCATTGCGCAATGAAATAGCTGATAATTAACTTTTGGTGGTGTTGGTGATCTAGTCCAAACAGGTTACACTATAACCTTCAGACTGCACTGCAATAACCAAGGCAAATCTTCAGATAATGTAAATCAGTGGTAAGCCACTTGTGGCCAGACAGATTGCTTACCTTGTGTTAACAAATATGGACACCCGCTGCTCCCATTGGCCACAGTTTGTCATTCCTGACCAATGGGAGCTGCAGGAAGTGGCGGTCAGCACATACCAGGAATGGCAAACCACAGCAATGAGAGCTATGGGTGGCGTATCTGTGAACACAAGGTAAACAACCTGTCTGGCAGTCCACCAGCAGCCTACCCTGACAAACTGCCTGCAACCCATGGGCCACAGGTTGCCCACCATTATCAATTGTTATAGCTTTAATTGATTTTAGTGGAGCCAATGACAATTTACACCAGCTGAGGATCTTTTTCCTATCATCCATTCCTATGGGAAAACGAGCACAAAGGAGATGAAGAAGAATTTTCAGCATTGATCTCCTTGCTTTGATGTTGGACTTCAGCACTCAGGAAACTCCAGCTGCGTGTAGCAATAGCCAGAGACATACCTCCCAGGAGTAGAGAGAGACTGGAATGAATTCTCAAAGATCATCACAAGTCTCAACACCTTCCATTCCTAATGCAGAGAACATTTTGTCAATCTTGACTTCTATAACATAAACATAGCTACCTGTATATTAAACAAAATTCCTACCTAAACTAAAGATGGCACTGTGCACACTTCTGGATAGAGGATGGGAACAAAAAGTACATTTTGACAACGGAGTCAAACGGTGGTGAGTACACAGAAATGTGACGAAGCACAGTATGGTACACGATGACAAGGGACCTTTATGTATTTCTTGTGGCTTGCACTGTCTTCCTCAGCCTGCCTATTGCCATTGCTTCACTCAGGTGAAATCACTACAGTACTAGGCTTCTGAAGATCCCAATACAGAATGCCTCCACTCATGGATGATTAGTCTCAATATAGACACCACAGAATAACTTAAGGACAATGTAATTCTTGCCTTAAATCGGAGGCTTGTTTTTTTAAGCTAAATTGTGCCCATAACTAACATCATCTTTGAGGTTTCATGCATTTTATAACACGGTGAGCATAAATTTGATAAATTGTCCATCTAAGATGACTAAGTTACTATGTTATAAACATCCACTTAATATTAATGAGAATACAGTTGCATTGAATAATTTGCTTGATTATCTCATAATTATACAATATCATAATCATATCCTCTTTTATAATAAAGTAATATTTTTCTTTTATTAAAGACTTCGCTGCTAAGTTGGAATAGTCAACAAAATAACATGAATGACTCTAGATACCAGTCACTGTTCTTCGTCAATCTGCCTGAGCTACGAAAACTCTGTTCCATTAAGGTCACTTTGAGTTCTAAATTGGCAGAAACTGAGATTAGGAATTCACAGATGAAGATATGTAGGTAAAGGCAACAAATTTTAAGAGTTGACATTGTCAAGAGTTATTTTATTTTGATTAAAGTAGATCATTAGGACTAGTTAACTATAACAAGATCAGTAAAGTTCCTAGAAGTTGTCCTCCTCCCACCCCTCAACAATTGTTCTGGTAAGGTGCATGACGACTTAAAAACATAAGCAATAAAATCCTCTATAATTAAGGCTATGTCTACACTACGGAGTTTTTGTCGCAAAATGGCCATTTTTCCACAAAAACCTGAGTGTCCATACCTCAAGCACGTTTTTGTGCAAAAAAAATCATAGAATCATAGGACTGGAAGGGACCTCGAGAGGTCATCAAGTCCAGCCCCCCCACCCTCAAGGCAGGACCAAGCTCCGTCTACACCATCTCTGACAGATGTCTATCTAACCTGTTTTTAAATATCTCCAGAGAGGGAGATTCCACCACCTCCATTGGCAATTTATTCCAATATTTGACCACCCTGACAGTTAGGAATTTTTTCCTAATGTCCAATCTAAACCTCCCCTGCTGCACTTTAAGCCCATTATCTTCCCTGGGACAGACGTTAAACTGACCGGTCTGTAGTTTCCTGGGTTGTTCTTATTCCCCTTTTTATAGATGGGCACAATATTTGCCCTTTTCCAGTCTTCTGGAATCTCCCCTGTCTGCCATGATTTTTCAAAGATCATAGCTAAAGGCTCAGATACCTCTTCTATCAGCTCCTTGAGTATCCTGGGATGCATTTCATCAGGTCCCGGTGACTTGCTGACATCTAACTTTCCTAAGTGATTTTTAACTTGTTCTTTGTGTATCCTATCTTCTAAACTTACCCTCTCTCTGCTTGTATTCACTACGTTAGGCACACCTACAGACTTCTCGGTGAAGCCCGAAACAAAGAAATCATTGAGCACCCCCGCCATTTCCAAGTTTCCTGTTACTGCTTCTCCCTCCTCACTGAGCAGTGGGCCTACCCTGTCCTTGCTCTTCCTCTTGCTTTTAATGTATTTATAAAAGGTCTTCTTGTTTCCCTTTATGCCTGTAGCTAGTTTGATCTCATTTTGTGCCTTTGCCTTTCTAATCTTGCCCCTGCATTCCCGTGTTGCTTGCCTATATTCATCCTTTGTTATTTGTCCTAGTTTCCATTTTTTATATGACTCCTTTTTTCTTTTGAGGGCATGCAAGATCTCCTTGTTAAGCCAAAAAGCAGAGGGTGTTTTTGCACAATAGGTATTCCTTTTTCTACTAGGAATAACTCCTTTTTGTGCAAGAGCTTTTGCGCAAAAAGGTGTGTGTGGACAGGGAATGGGGTTTTTTTGCGCAAAAAGAGGTAATCGAAGAAAGCACAGTTGCCCTGGTGGCCATTCTGTAAATAGCAATCAGAGTTTCCTTTTGAAAGAGCGTCTATGCAGTCTGGACGCTTTCTTTCGCAAAAGTGCATCACTTTTTTGATGTGCATTTGCAGTGTGGACGCACTTTTGAGCAACAAGGTTTTGCGGAAGATCTCTTCCACAAAAAGCTTCTTACGCAAGAAGCCTGCAGTCTAGACGTAGCCTAAGGTGTTCAATTTTAAAACATTTGTCAGGTGTTGACACTGAATTAATAAGGGAATAAATAAAAGATTCAAAGTTATTCCCTAATCAGATGCAAAGCTGGAACTCTTTGAATGTATCACCTGAGATATTATAGTGTTTTACAGAGGATATATAGATATATCATTGAGATATTATAGTGTTTTACAGAGGATGAGGGGAGGCATTATGTGGCAATATTCTCCCAAAAGCACACTCCCATTCCCAGCATATTGCAGTTACCCATGCTTACTATTTTTTTGTTTCACATTTACCTTCCCACCTTCTGGGAGAGCATGCCAGTTCTCAATGTGGATTTTGTTCCTTCTCACAAAGGCCTCCAAACAATTATCAGATAACTGTTGACTGACCAGTCTGGGTGGAATGTGAATCAGTAACTTGAGCTATTCAGCATTTTCTGCTGAATTACTGAATCATGCAGTTAAGCTTTAGAAAAATAATTAAAATATAAATAACCTGATGCTGAGATAGCAAACCCAATTTAGAAGAAATTAAATTCAAAATTAATTTTTCAAAGTTTTATCTTTGTAGGCAATTGTTATTTCTTCATCAAGACATCCTTTCTTCACCTGTCCCTGGAACACTGAATCAAATTTCAGTTGTAATGACGGTCAGTAATAAAATCTCTAATATTTAATTTCTATCTGTATATTCCAAGTTGTTTTGTTAGCAGAACTACTGTATGTAAATTGATATAATTTAAATATAAATTGTTATTAATGCAAAGTACATACATTGACACCACTAATGTATGTGACACATTATTTCTTCCATTGAAGAAATGGCCATCTGAGAGCTCAGTGGTAAGTGATGTGTGTCATCACTTCATATAGAGAAATACAGAGAAATATGTATTAAGTAATGAGAGTGAAATTCTGGCCTTATTGAAGTCAATGGAAAAATGTATATATTCACTTTTTAATGTATAAAAAGATCTCTCTTGTAACAGGATGAATATAAAAAATCTAGTCTACTGTGTATTTGAGACAGTTTGTGCATCTGTGTATCCACCTGTCTGTGAATCCATTTATTCAAGAATTCCTAACTGATAATAGCAAGGATCACCAAATTTGGTATGCAGCTTCCTCTTATCATAACTTAAAGCGAAGTCAGGGTTTGTGCCAAGACAATGGGGTGTGCCTGGAAGACAATTGTTTCAATCCAATGGAAAGGGAGTGGTGCGATAGCAGGGACATTTATACCCCAGAATGACCACAGGGGGGCAGAATGCTCCCACCACTGCAGCTTGCCTTAGGGAGCACAACACACCCACCCCTACCCCAGGCCGCCTCCAGTGAGACGCCATCGATCAGGTCGCACCACCCTCTCCCTACTCCAGACTGGCCCCAGGGAGAAGCCAAGCATCCATACCCTGGGCTGAACTGAGGGAGAAGGTAGTAGGTGGGGTGCACACCCACCTCGGGCCAGACCCAAAGAGAAGCTGGTGGGTAGTCCCATCCACACATTCCTCTCCCCTCCACCTCAGGCCAGCCCTTGGGAGAAGGTGGCAGAAGGGGTGTGCTGCTGCCACTCTGGGCAGACATTAGTGTCCACCCCCCCGAGACTCCTATCCCCTCCCCATATACTCCTATACCTCCCAAACCCCTGCCCTAACCCTTGCACCCCCACCCTGAGCCCCACCCTCTGCTCTGACTCCTACCCCCTGCCCTGATCCTCTCCTCACCCTCCCCCCAGCCCTGACTCCTCTCATCACACCCTGAGTCCCTTGCCCTGAGCCTCTCCTCAGCTCCTAACCCTAACTCCTGCACCCCCTACACACACCCAGTCTTTTGCCCCGAGTCCCCAAATTTCCAAGCACCTGCCCTGACTCCTGCACTTCCCAGTCCCCTGCTCTGTTCCCCTCCATAAGGACCTGAGCCACACTGGATCATGTTGCTAGTAAAACATAATTGTTGTTTCTAAACAGCAAACATTGAAATGGACATTGCTAAAAACTTTTCCATGTAACTTAAATTGTAATTTTTTCTTCCTATATAAATACCAGACAATTTTTAAAATTCTCTCTTCCTTCTACAGCAACATGAGATCCTCAGAACCTGTGGTTTTGGTGGTGATAATGGGGGTAATATAAAGGTACCCTGCATGTTCTGAATTGCACAGCGCTGCACCAAAACCTAGATCCAACCCTGTGGGACTATATATTCATCCAACTGCATTAATTAAATGTTTTATTTTGGTGATTGGTTAGGGACAAAGAAAAATAGCTTTTTCTATCTTACCTTGAGAATGGAGTTATCTGCCAGAGAAGAGACCAACAGCACCTATCCAGGGTCCATTGTGGATTTTTTTTCAAGTCACCAGTCCCACTTCAGGACAACTTAGGTAGTTTCAGAGCAATTTTGTTAGAAACTCTGTCATCGTGGGGTCCTCATCCATGACTAGGGCTTTGAGGCTCTGTAATAATATAAAAACCCACCAATAATATCCACAAATTAAGTTATGAAGGACTTGGCTCTAGAAGAATGGTTAGTGGGTAAGGCTTCACCAGTAATTATTTGTTGAATACTCCAGATAATATTTTTGTTTTTTGTTTGTTTTTGTTTAGATATCTTTTTACAAAACAGGAAAATGCCAGGCTTATATAGAGAAACATGGTGCTACAGTAAGTGACTCTTGACACTATTCACTGTTAGACTTGTTCATTGTTGCCAATACTTGTAATTGCAGTACCTGAAAGTGACCTTTCATAGTGCTTTTCCATTTTGCACAAAAAGTGTATGCCATGTCTTACAGGATTGACTTACAATACCAAATAATGCAAAGTATATAAAACTTTGTGAAACCCTGTCCATGACCTGTTTTTGTTTTGTGTTTGCAATGTATATTATGATTCTTTTTTTCTGTATTGCCTATGATAAAATGTTTTCATTTGCATGTCTGGCTGTGGACTTTCAGAAACGGTTAATGTAGTATTTAATATAGGATACATTAATTTTGTGTAATGTTATTTTTAACGGATTGTCATATGGTACTGAGTCACATGCTTTGTTGATGTCTAAGTATATTATGTCAACGCAGTTATTTTCTTCAATCTAACTTGTGATTTCATCAAAAACATCCCCGATCTTGGGCTAGACAGGCTTTGATATGTACACATGACAGGTTTTGATATGTACACATGTTGGAAATCACTGGTTAGAGTTTGGAATGAGATATAAACAATATCCAGTGAAAAAGTACTGTATATTACTGATTCATTAATTCCTTTTCCCAAAACCTGCTGACCCTCAAAAAAACAGAATACATTAGAATGCACCCTAATGTTGGTGTCCACTAAAATGTAAAAGGCCAGATCCTGAGGGGCTCAAATGTGTTACAGTTTCCAAGTAAAATAGAGGGTATGGTACAGATACTCAGCATCTTTCAGAATGTGGCTTAAAATTACATAATGATTATCTTTTATAAAACCTTGATTTGATGGGTTTAAAATCGTACTTAAATAATTATGTGAACATTTTCTTTTCCCCTTGGTTAATATTAATAGATTGAGGCACCAGAAAGAGTTGGCCCAGCCATCCTTCAATCCTGTCTCTGTTACACACTTATAACCAGACTTGCCCCCAGCTGGAATAAGGCTGGTCATCTGTTGGTACAAGGTATCTTACTCAACTGGGTCAGATCCTGACACTTTGACTTTCAGTACTTCATTATTTTTAAATTATATTTGCCATGCATATGCTGCCTACTCTTTGATTAATAGTTTTATATTTTTGTTTGTATTTCTATGATTATTTCTTAACCCCAGTTTAATTTTAATGACTAATATAAAAGGTATATTAGGAGGTATAAGAGGTCTCTCTCCCTTCTCCTTTGTGTAATTCATTGAATAACCATTTAAATTGTTCAAAGCATATTCAGTTAATGTCAAAATCATACTTTGCAGATCAGCAATTATTTATGAAAATACTGTAAATAGTTTTCAGAATCAGCTGTTCATCACAAACACTTCAGTTGCACTGAAGTTGCACACTCCCCTTACAAAATATACAAGTAACGTGCTTTCTGACCATGCCTTTCTACCAAGTATTGTTAGGCTAGATGTTATTCTTACCGACTGGTACTTCTGAGACAGACTACCCTTCTGTTGTCCATTGTCCCCTCTTCATTGGAATCAAGGCCACTATTTGGGTTTTAATGTCATAATATCACTTAGAATAAAACTTAGTCTTCTGACACTCACAAGGTAGCTGTGGGGTTGCTTCTAATCTATCAGCTGGTTTGGGTGGATGAAGCACAATACAGGGCAATATTTGCATTCAGCTCTCCTTTTGAACTTGAGGTATTTGTCCCAGATATTGAAGAATTGGTGAGGAATGTGGATTTTTAGGCTGTGACTTTAGTAATTTAATTAATCTTGGAATTATTAGCAATAAAGAGTCTCAATTTTCCGACTTTCACTTATCTGACGTTCCGTTTTATCCGACATGCTGTCCGCTGTCACGTGCCACCCGCTGACATGACGAATTGATGAATATGAATGCAGCATATACAACAGCCAATCACAATCAGCACCGCGCACCCACACCATACACATGAGTGCAATCGTACTTTTGTTTGATGTTTATTTTTTCATTAAAATTAGTAATAAATTGAGTTTATATATATTTATACCTATGTTTTTTATTAGTATTCCATATTGTCCAACATTTCCACTATCCGACTATCCTCCAGTCCCATTTAGGTCTGATAATCGAGACTCTACTGTAACTTGCACAGTGTAGGTTAATATTCCTTTTTCACTCATTTCCACCTGTTTGGGGGATGACTGCCATCAGCTTCCATTCCTCCAAAGTTGGTTGCAGACATTCCTAGGACCCCAGTGCCTTTAGTTGTCTCCTCACTGTACTAGACATTAAGAGCCCCAAACCTGTTCCCCGACTACTTTAAGAGATGGCTTCCCCTAAATCTACTTCCAACTCCAGTTAATCAGAAATCCAGAGTCTCTGTGGAATAATTACCTTCACTGAACATCTGCTACCAACCACTTTAACTTCTGGCTAACCCAATTAGGTCCTGACAGCATGTGGAAAGTGAAAAATACCACATTACTCCAGCCAATCTGATAAGAGGAAGATTCCTTCTCAGTCCTGAATAAGGCAACTAGCTTATTCCCCAAACAGACCATGAAAACCTTGTTCTGCATTTGTTCAATGGATGGGAGCTACTGATCCATGAGAGTGGATTCTGTGTGGCAGGACAGGATATATATATACTTCTTTCCTGCTTTACAAGGGGCCTACTTTACAATTACCTTAGCCTATCTGGTCAGTCCTATTTTAGGTAAGAAGTCCCTCTCTCTACCCACCTCAGTTTGAAGGAGGGGAGCAACCTTAAAAGAGCCAAATTTTTTTCCCACTTGTCCAGACAAACTTCTCCTTCCACACACACAGGGTAATAGAACTTGTATTATTAACTGTTACCTAATGAAAAACACTACTGTGTGCAAATTCCTTATTGAGAGATATCATGTATATAGATGTTTATAATCTGCGTTCATGCATATTTGTGTTGATTTACATGCCACTGCTAATTCAATGAAAAATTCACTGATACATGTTTTTCCTTCTGTGTTAGCAACAAACTATACAGCCACTTTGTAACACAAACTGAAAACTTTCTCCATTTCTACTACATAAAATATTTCTGAGATAAAAGTCTTATAGTTGCCTTATGAATACGTTTCACAAAAATAATATGTATTATTTTATTAAGGAAACAATTTTTTGTCTCATGTGGGACGGCAAAATGCTGTTGGTAAGTACAATATTGTGTTCATATTTTAAGTATATTAGAACTTAATAAGACTACATCATGTTACTAGAGCTTCTATGATCTTAGTATATCAACACAATATCTTTTCATTTTGCTGTCTACAAATAACTTCAGTCATATGATGCCTGCTGGCAGATGGTTCTTTAAATTATGTGACAATTTTTAAATACATTTCACTTTTGTAAGAGAGAAGTTTTTTTCTACTACAAGTATTAATCTTAGCCTATGACCATAGAGTAAAATACACAGTTGAAAAGACCTGGCTGTAACAGTTCATTTTAGGCAAATGTCATTCAGACCATGAAAGTGGTATGAAGGTTTGATAGCAATAGGTTAAATAAAATGAGTATTAACTACCTTTTTACAATTCTCAAAACATTAGGACACACTAAGTGTGTTATGTATAAATATATAGAAAATATGTTTATTTTATTTCTATACATCAAATATAAGTTTTAGGAACTAAATTTTAAATCATTGGCATTCAAGTTTGTGCCTGGAAATTATTTTCAGGAGCAGGCAATTGGTTGTACAAATACGTATTTGTGCATTCAAGTGGCCATTTGGACATATGACCATGAACACAAGTATGCAATTATATATGTTCACATATCTTTTACAAGTGAAATTTAGTCACTGATATTAGAAATTAGTCAATGAATACCTACTTTGACTTTTAAAAATTGAAATAATTAATGCTTTATACATGATAAGGAATTATCTTACCTTTCGATACTGCTGCACTGAGCATAATGTTTGGAAGGTTGGGTTTTTTTGTTGATTTGTTTGTTTTTAATAAGCATCTTAGCTCTTAGCTTTACCTTTGCACTTTAGGGATAATTTATATATATATATGAATGAGAGAGAGAGACTGACTGAGTGACTGAGATTTTATTTCAGTTATGGACCTCAATGTGTCAGAGACCCAGCTTTGCATCAGTGTAGAGGCTTGCACAATTCGACTTCCACCACCCAAGGTACAGAACAGTTCTAATTTCTATAGCTAATTTTGTTCATCCTACTTTCTCTCTTTTATTGGTTGTATTTTATCTGGGATATCGGTATCCAGATGTTTACTCTCAATTGCCATTGGATATCCATCATGCTACTCACTTATCCTCATCTCGTACTAAATATATATACCACGTATTATTGGATATGGCTGTATTCATGAAAGTCTGATAGTCATTCCAATCAGAATGTCAGAGCTGTGAGATGTCACCACCGTTACTACTGAAAGAGGCTTTCAGAGAAAATAGGAAAAGGGAAGCACATGCTGATAGGATTATCTGCCCAAGAGTAGTAGATTTTTCACATGAAACATACAGCTGCTAGGCAAAGGTATTACAGAACAGTCCTCTGTAGAAGAGGAAGAATCCACAGCAAATAAAGGCAGATGAAGCTATTGAGATTTAAGCACCGTACCATCCACAAACATCAAAGCCCTGTTTGACACCAAGGTGTCTGACCCTTTAGTTGTCTCTGTGGAATAGAAGAATGGCTACACACTGTGCACGATGATTACAATGGATAGATGTCTTTATGCCACCAGGTTGCCTTATACCATAATATTCTCCAGGAGATAATCCTTTTTTCACTTTCATTCAGTACTAGCTTAGAGTACTATCTTTTATTCAAACTATCAATCAACTTCTAGCCATCAGAGCTATCAAAAAAGTTCCACAGCTGTTCTTTAGAACCTACTCCATTTTCTTTGTGATATCCCAAAAATATTGGGAGCAGTTTGGGACATTCTGGATATGAACATGGGTAGCAAACATCGCAGGAAGCTATATTTCAAGTATTAGGAAATTAGCGTCAGCTCTGATAGCCATGTCACCTTACCTGATCTGGTACAGTGAGTATCAATTCCTGGTTACTTCTTTCCTTACACAGATAGGCTGTGTCTACACTGCACCCCTTTCCGGAAAAGGGATGCAGATTAGACACATCGGAATAGCAAAATTCGCGGGGGATTTAAATATCCCCCGCGGCATTTGCATTAACATGGCTGCCGCTTTTTTCCGGCTTGGGGATAAGCTGGAGAAAAGCGCCAGTCTAAACGTGATTCTCCGGAAAATAAGCCCTTTTCCGGAGGATCTAAGAGATCCTTTGAAGTAGGAATAAGAGATCCTCCGGAAAAGGGCTTATTTTCCAGGGAATCACGTTTAGACTGGCGCTTTCCTCCGGCTTATCCCCAAGCCGGAAAAAAGCGGCAGCCATGTTAATGCAAATGCCGTGGGGGATATTTAAATCCCCCGCGGATTTTGCTATTCTGATGTGTCTAATCTGCATCCCTTTTCCGGAAAAGGGGTGCAGTGTAGACACAGCCATACTGATGATGGAAATTAACAAGATGTAGTTTCATTATCAATAATCAGTATAATCTTATACTGGTTCATAATTTGCTGGTGTTTGAAGACAGACAAAGCAACAGAAAGGGCTTTTCTGTCAATTGGTCAATCCAAATCTTGACAAACCAGAGTCAGAACAGAATGTTTCTTGGGCTAAAGAGTGTCTTTGGCTTTTGCTCCAGAATGTGTTCTCTCAGAATATCTGCTCAACCTCTCTTGATTTTCCAAGAGGCAAAAACATAGGTTCTTAGCAGTGTTGCTGGGATCTTTTACTTCCCTGATTATTAGGGTGAGATACTGTCACTAGCTGGTCCAGCGGTAGATTATGTTGATTTCTGAATAGAATTTAAAAGCATTGCAGCAGTAGTAAGAATATTCTTAGTCTGAGGACATTTATTTTGTGCTTCAAGTCCTTTTTGGATCCCATATCCTTGCATATTAAAGTACTTCCAATAAGCCCTATCAGCCTTCAAGTCTTATAGTTCTTTAGCTAGTTCTTAAAAGTTTAAGTTTTAAATGTTTGAAATAGACTATGATATGAAATAGACATGTGATGATGTGAATATATTCTAAAATTAGCAGTTTACAATGACTGATAAATTAATATTCCTGTATAAATTTCAATGTTCTATTTGAATGTATATTAGCTCTTTTGCATGTTCCTTTTTCACTTTGCATGAATAAAGCAATGTTTGAAAATAAAGTGCTTTTTTATGTTTGAAGCTGGAAGACTTCGACATTTCAGCAAACACCTTAGAAATATTTAACAACAATAAAAATACAGTCATTCAGAGGCACTCCATTTTAAGTAACTGGTGCTATGTCTTGCCAAGGTAAGATTCTATTTAATTTCCAGCAAAAATAACCAGTTTACCAAAAACTTTTCAACTATGCTATGGGTTGTATAACGTTATGTTTTCATTTTCCCACTGTATAGCATGAAAATGGGTCAGATCATAAGTATCAGCCATATTATTCCACCAGAATCTCCTTTTCATTCATTCAAAGACTTTCAGATGCACTGGAAAAATACGGTAGGAAAAAATATGATATTTTTTTTAATTTCATTATTTTTCCTTTTTGTCTGTTTTGAATGTTTTTGTATTAATCCCATTGTTTATAATAACATTCCATTTATATGTGTATATTTTATTTTTAGTATGGTTATATCCTTCCAGAGGACCATGGAGAGCCAAAAATATATTGCAGTGTTTATTTCAAACTGATAGGGGAACGACTCTTTACATATCCTTTATATATATTTATATATATATAATATATTTGTGTGTGTGTGTGTGTGTGTGTCTGCCTGTCTGAGAGAGAGATTACCTTCTCCTATATCATGCTAGCCAAGATCTAAATTCTAATCCAAATAAAGGGGCAAATTCACCGTAATTGTAATTACATTGAAGTGTCTGAGGCTATGTCAACAGAAAATATGGTCCAAAATATCTGGTTCAGTCCTTCTGTATTGTTAACGAGTAATGTCAAAACTGGTCTTCCCTATTTTGCTGCAGATGTTTCTTAAATGACCCTGAGTTATGGATTGGGAACTCTTGTAGGGGCTGGGATGCCAAATCTTTGAGGGTATGTCTACAGTAGCCCTCTAGTTGGAACTAGGTTGGCTAATGTAGGCATTCGAACTTGCAAATGAAGCCCGTGATTTAAATATCCCGGGCTTCATTTGCAAGTTCCTGGGCAGGCGTCATTTTTAAATCCACTTTGTTTGAACTGACTGCCCGCGGCTACATGCAGCAGTCAGAAGTTAATCTGAACTAAGTCCTTAATTCGAATGAACTGTTACATCTCATTGCAGGAAAAGGAAGCCTGGTAGGGGCAGATGACTGTTTTGCGGGGCCCCGGGCAGCATAATTTCGCGGGGCCCCTCTTTGCCACGGCGCATGCGCAGTGACGCCATGCGCACGCTCGGTGGCGCCACGGTGCATGCGCAGGGCTTTTTGAAGCACGGGGCCCAGGACGGCAGCCCCGTTCACCCTGCCCTATATCCGCCCCTGAAGCCTGGGATATTTAAATCCCGGGCTTCATTTGCAAGTTCGAATGCCTACATTAGCCACCCTAGTTCCAACTAGGGGGCTAGTGTAGACATACCCTGAGAGAATAATTTTTCTTCAATCTATTTCATAGACTCATAGGCCTAGAGGGGATCTTGAAAGGTCATCTAGTCCAGTACCTTAGACTCATGGCAGGCAAGATAAATTCATGGAAACTAGATAAATTCATGGAGGTTAGGTCCATCAATACTTATTAGCTATGATGGGTAGGAATGGTGTCCCTAGCCTCTGTTTGTCAGAGGCTGGAAGTGGATGACAGGAGAGGGATCACCTGATGATTATCTGTTCTGTTCACTCTGTGGGGCATCTGGCCTTGGCCACTGTTGGAAGACAGAACACTGGGCTAGATGGAAGACAGAACACGGGGCTCGAACTAGGTAGTTCGGACTAGGATTCCTATTCCGAACTACCGGTACACCTCGGTACACTAGGAATCCTAGTCCGAACTACCTAGTTCGAGCCCCGTGTAGCCACGCTACACGGGGTTCGAACCAGCGGGGATTTAAAAATGGCGGCTCCCCGCTTATGCAAATGAAGCCCGGGAAATTCAAATCCCGGGCTTCATTTGCAAGTGCGGTATGCCTACATTACCCCGCTAGTTCGAACTAGTGGGGTAGTGTAGACATACCCAGAGAGATTAATGGAGTTGCTCAACAGAACAACTGGAGATGTCTTTCTGATCTTCTGACTCCTAATCCAGTGCTCTAGCTGATGGAATATCCTATGCTGCTGCTGAAATGACTGCCAGTAGAGCATAATTAAATTAACTAGGAAACTCTGATTTCAGAAACATGTTCATAAAAAAGTAAGACTAAAAACCTAGATTCATACTTGGTTGTGCTATTGAATGAGAAAAAAATTAAAATATCTGAAGAAGGAAATGAAGAAAAACCAGGCGGATATCACAAATAAAGAACTAATTTCTATCCGTTGAATAATACCTCGTTCTCAACAAGATATCCCATTGATTACAATGGGACTGCCCAAGTAATAAAGTACATCTCAATGGAAATGAAAATGGTTTAATTTAGCCTAATGGGACAAAACTTTCAAATATCTCTGCTCATTAAAACTACTACAATTTTGGTCCCTGTAAAAATAGTAAAGCATGTTTGTTTGTTTTTTTAAAAAGTTGTTTCTTTTGAAGAAGTTTTAATATGTTTATAAGTTTTGACTCAAGAAAAGGATAAACAATTTCATAATCAAAATTCTAAAAGCCATTTCGCATAGCCCTTAACACTTATTCAGATATCCATTAAATTGCATAAGAAGCCAACCAGTACAATATTTTACTAGAATAGATTTAGAAGGTGTATTAAACTCTTTTCTTTCTGACCTAAAGTCCAAACTTCCTCATCTATGTGGATTTCCAGTAAAAATGACAAGTAAAGCATTATATGCCACAAAAGAGCTCATCAAGCCTCCCGTGCACGTAAGAAGTTTTATATTTATATTAGTACTAGAAGATTAACCTGTCATTGCTCGGATCCTTAACTCAATTAATTTTTTGTATTTTGGAAAATAAAATGAAAACATACATTCTTCATTTTGAATCATTGCTCTGGGGTGGAGTGGGGACTAGGGCTTCAGTATGCAGGCTGGATAATAAAAAGCACCTTTTCAAGGTCACTGCAGCTCAAATGGGCACAGCCAATGAACGGCTGCACATCCCCTGGCTAGGGCAGGTCCAAGTTCATCTGTCCCCTATGCTCCGCAGCCAAAGTGAGGAATGCAGCAAACTGTGCTTCCTCACTGCCTGACAAAGGGAAACAGCCAGCAATGTCCCCATATGAATCAGGAGGTGAGTGTGAGCTTCAGCCCCCATGCCCTCCCTAAAAGGCGCCTTGGGGGTGGGAAGCCCAGGGCTAACAGCAGTCCCGGATGGAGCAGAGGGCACCCCCAGCCAGGCCCATTCATCTGCCTGGTGATTCTGTCTCTTTTCTGTATGGTTTTCTGAGAAGCCATCCCATTCCAGGCACATCCATTTTCCTAGCACAACCAAACCCATATCTTCCTTTAAGTTATGATAAGAGGAAGCTATATAACAAATTTGGTAGTCCTAGCCTTACCATTTAGGAGTTCTTGAACAGACTGACAGACAAACTCTCAAATATATAGTAGACTAGAAGATTTTCCTGGTGTTGTTCAGGTCCTTCAGGGCAGAGAGTATGGGGTGTGTGTAGCAATCAGGGCAGGGGCTTAGGGCTGTGGGCGGCTCAGGGCTGGAGTTGTGAGTGTGCAGGAGGCAGGATTGAGAATGAGAAGGGGCTCATGGCAGGAGGTGGGGGTGTAGGAGTCAGAGAAAGGGATGGTGTCCCGGAAGGTAGAGCAGGAGTCAAGGGAGGGATTGAGAGGTGTGAGTGGCTCAAGGGAGAGAATGAGAGTGCAGGAATCAAGGCGGGATGAGGATGGCCAGCAGCTGGCAGGGACTGTGCTGCCTGGTTGGCAGCTAGTAACTGGGGGCAGCGGGGGCCAAACTGCGTGGCCGTCAGCTGCACTGGGGCAGCGGGGACCTCTCCCCTGGGCCATTAGGGGCTGTGCTGCCCATCCAGCACCTACACCGTGGGGCTGTCCAGGCAGCATGCGTGCACTTGTTTGCTGCCTCCTTGTGGTCATTCTCAGGTATCCTTGCTATCACAGCCCCTCCCTTTCTGTTTGAGAAAAAACATTCACATTCCACACAAATCCCATTGTTCTGGCACCTTGCTTTACCTTGCTTTAAGTTATGATCAGAAGAAGTTGCATGCCAAATTTGGTATTTCTAGCTCTTACCATTTAGAAGGAGTTCTTGAGCAATTAGACTTGCAGATAGACAAACAGATGCACAAACTCTTTCAAATATATAGTAGATTTATATAGATGGGCACAATGTTGTTTATAATAGGTGTTCTTTTTCGAGTGATATCCCCGTGGGTGCTCCACTGTAGGTCTTGGGCTTGCCCCAGCGCTGCAGGATGGAGATTTTTTGCAGCAGTAGTTCTGCCAGACTGCGCATGCGCGGGGAGCGTCTCGCAGCGTTCATGCCTTTTCGCGCTGTGCGGTCCAGTCTGAGCCAGTTCTTCTGAATCGCTTCAGGCTGCAGATGGTGGAAACCTCTTTCCTTGGATCTCTTCTGTTCGTGAGGAATTCAAGTTTGTTTCTTATTTCTGGTTCAGATCCAGTTTATATTTACCTTCTCCTTTCTGTTCCTAGTTTTAAAAAAAACGTTTTAAAGTTAAAAGTTACAGTTTAAAGTAGTTACCATATGTTTACTTGACCTTACTTGCTAAGTTTGTTATCTTCCCTGTTTACTCATTACCTTCTCCCTCTTTAAAAAAAAAAAAAGTTAAAAGTTAAGTTTAGTAAAGTTGAAGTTAGATTAGAATAATGCCTGGTTCACCAGGATTCAAAAAATGTGAGGCCTACCGCGAGGCCATGCCTGCCTCGGATGGCCACTCCTCCTGTTTTCGTTGTTCAGGGAAGGGCCATGTTCCACAAAAATGCCCTCACTGCTCTAAGCTTACAGCTTAATGATCCTGTTCATTAAGGCTCTTCAGCCTCAAGGATCTGTCTCCCCCCACGTAGCCATCAAGAGAGCCACAAAAAAGGGCTTCCTCTCCGACTGCCGCCCTGCCAAGAAAGAGTAAGCCGTCTCCAACTCACTCTCTGCCTGCTACTTCGCATGGCAGATTGAGCGTTGGCAGTAAACTGGGCACTTCAGGCATGTCTATGGTGTGCACAGCACCGTCCAAATCAGCGAAATCTGGCTCTTTGGTGCCAACCGCGTGCCATTCATCGTCACTGACATCTTCGGCACCATCAAGCTCCGCTCGCGGCATGTCGGCACCATCGGCACCGACAAGTTTCACTTGAGCCAAACCTGCACCGCTGGCACAGATGCCAAGGGCGGCACCGACCCTCCCACCCCCCGAGCCTCACGTGGCACCAATTCCAGTGCCGAGCAGCCCGGAAGACCAAACTGACCGTGTGGCATCGGCGCCTGCAACTCCACCTACTGGGGCGGCAGTCCAGCACCAACATCGGCACTGAGATGGTAGCAGCCTAGGAAGGCTACAGCCAAGACACCACAGAGTCCATCTCCACGCTCCCCTTCTCCAACATTTTCTCCAGCACCCTCCTCGCCACCGCCACCTCAGTCACTTAGGCAGTCACCACCTAGAAGATTCTCCTCCTGCGAGCGCCTTCCATCTCCATTCCTAACGCCACCAAGGGATCAGCATTATCAAAGGGAGCGTCATTATCATCACCAGTTTTCCACCTCACCGTCTCCCTTACCATAGAGGTCCTACTCTCCCTCATTGTCACCGCATTCGCCTGACCACTCCTACAGGAGGTCTTATAGCAGGTCTCATTGCTATGAGCACTCGCCATCTCGTTCCTCCTATCATAATCGGGACCCATACAATAACTGTACGTACTACAGAACCCATTCACCATACCACCGCTCCTATCATCGCTCATCCAGATCACTTCCTAGATCTAGGACACATGATTCCTCTGTGAGATACTCACTGGTGACCGACCCACCCCATTTGCGGCGTGGCTCAAGGTCTGCACTCCCTCCCCCCCCCAATCCTCACGTCGAGGAAGGGCAGCCCCTACTGGAGGAAACGCACCAGCCTGAGATATAGCCTACCGATCCATCGTCATACTCACCGGATGAGGTGGTTATGCCAGGAGACACCTCTTCCCCCTGATGATTTCAGGCAATTTCAAGAGCTTTTCAAAAGAGTAGCGCTCTCTCAGGAGATTCAGTTCACTGAAATCAAGGGGAAACACCACAGTCTATTCAAGAATCTAGAAATGTCTCATGCTCCTAAACTGGCTATCCCCCTGGATGAGCCATATTGGAAGTCGCCAACGAGTTGTGGCAGACCCCAGCGTCGGTATTACCTACAAACAAGAAGACGGACAAGAAATATTTTGTGCCCCCGAAGGGATCAGAATTCTTATTCACCCACTTGCCCCCAACTTCTTGGTGGTTGACGCAATGCGACAAAGAGCACAGGTGCCACAATATAGAGGCCAAACATCAGATAAAGATTCAAAGAGATTGAATTTATTTGGAAGGAAGGTGTACACAGCATCAACACTTCTCCCAATAGCCAACTATTTGGCATATGTATCCAACCATAATTTCAACAACTATTCAAAACTGACAACCCTCATGGAGTCTCTACCTGAATCTAAGAGACCCATTCTGAAGGCTGTTGTTCAGGAAGGTTACACTGCCACCAGGACCAGCTTACAGATAGCAGCTGATGTAGCGGACCCTGCAGCCAGGGCCATTGCCACTGCAGTTGTCATGTGAAGGGCCTCATTCCTCCAGGCTGCAGCAGTTCCTAAGAACCTGCAATCAAAAGTAGATGATTTACCCTTTGAGAAAGATAACCTTTTTGCGGAGAAGATGGATACCCTGCTTCATTCTAGCAAAGATTCCAGGTCCACGCTGAGAACACTTGGTATGTACTCTCCATCATATAGGAGACGACGATATACAACATACCAGAGGCGCTATGATTATCATCCCAGGCAACCATGGCAACAACAACACCGGCCCTTAGATAACTCCTGCCAACGGCAGTGGCCTCCGAGGTGTCGGAATCGGAATAACCTCCGCAAAACCATCCCAATACCAGGCAGCAGGTTTGACTGCTTGGTCGGGAGCACTCAACCAGTCTCACCGGTTACCATCCCGCTGTTTCACCATCGCCTACTCCCATTTTACCAGCACTGGACACCCATCACCAGCGACAGATGGGTGCTAGAGATAATCAGAAGCAGTTATGCCATACCCTTGCTCTCTATTCTACCTACACCCCCCAAACCCGTCCCTTTTCAGGGACCCCTCTCATGGAGATCTGCTCATAAGTGAAATAAATTATCTGCTGCAGATCAGCACAGTAGAAAGAGTGCCGCACGAATTCAGAAGGAAAGGGTTCTATTTTCACTATTTCCTGATTCAGAAGAAAATGGGGTTGGAGACCGATCTTGGATCTCAGGCAACTAAACAAATATCTTCGAAAACAGCATTTCAAAATGGTGACCCTTGCATCAATTATCCCAGCCTTAGATCAGAATGACTGGTTCGTTGCTCTCAACCTACAGGACGCTTATTTCCTTGTTATGATCCACCCCGCACACAGGCGGTTTCTTGGATTCGTTGTCGGTAAAAACCACTATCAATACAGGGTTCTTCCGTTCGGACTTTCAGCTGCCCCCAGAATGTTCACAAAGGTGCTCTCAGTCATCGCCACTCACCTCCGACATATCAGGGTAATCATATTCCCCTACCTAGACGACTGTTTTATAAAGGGCTGATCGTCTTCGCAGGTAGGGCAGGATGCTATCCATCACCAGACGAACTTTCCAATCTCTTGGCCTACTAGTGAACAAGGACAAATCAACATTGCTTCCCACCCAAGACCTAGA